AAATTATGAAAAAAATAAAAATAAAAAAGAATATCAAATAAAATACAAGTCTTTTAACATTAAAATCACATGCAACAAGGTGTTATACTCACTCAGAGAGACACACAGCATTAAGACCAACTGAGGAGTAGATTCCTTTTTTCTCTTCATTGCTTATAGAAAGTCATGTGCGCTAATCAACTATTCTGCCTCTACTTGTTCTTGCCTATTTATTTTGTCAGGAGGGAAGCAGTGATTGTATACACATGGTAGAAGCCAAATGAATTAAATATACATGTGAAGTATACGTACTATGCATACTAAAAAGTTGAAAGTAATGTATATTATAAACTGATGAGAAGAATTATTTAATCATTTTATACTTATATTTTTCTGAATTTTCCACTTTGTATACAAGGACTAGGGCTTATTTTTTGTAATCACAAAAAAAATAATCAAATGCTTTAATATCCAAAAACAAAGGTTCACCCACTGCAAGAGAGAAAACAAATGCTTCACCTTTGGATCTTTTGCACAGAACTTCATGATATCCCTCCAGTGTCTGTCTACAGTGTGAAACTGGCGTCCTTCCTCTGGCATCTGCTGCATGATATCCTCAGAACAAAAGATGGGCTCTAAGTAGAGCCACTGAGCTTGCACTTTTAACCACTCATCTATTGTTTCCTGTATTCGGATCAGACGGTCCTCCCAGGCCTTAACGAAAAACACACTGTGCTAAATTCTAGTTATTAAAGAAAAGTTATAAATTATAGAAAAATGTACTTAAATTTTACTATTAATATAAATTTTATATTAATTCAAATAGCTTACAGCTTAAGACCATTTATGGATATCTCACAAAGACTTAAGTAAACTTTAGGAAGTCTAAAGTTTCTTAAAGCATTGAAAGGTACATTTTTTTGGGGGGGGTTTCCCCTTGCAGAATTGGGGATTGAACTCAGACCCTTGCACTTGCCAGGGAAGCGCTTATCCTACTGAGCCATCTCTCCAGCCCCCCTGAAAGGTACATTTGGAAGTGACTATAAAGTGATTTTCCTAAACTCTAAGGAGAACCATCGTAGGTCCACTCAAAACATAGTTATCTGTATTAAGTGGTTATCAACTGTATGTGATTTTGCCTCTCACTACACTATTTGACAGTGGAGACATTTTCATTTATCAGAGCCAACAAAGGAGAATGCTATTAATAGCTGGTGGATAGAAGCCAGAAATACTGCTAATGTCCTTCAGTATACAGGACAGCCCTCATAACAAAGCATTATTTAGCCAAAATACCAACAGTTCCATGTTGAGGAATCCTACTGTATATCAATACAATTTGGAAGAAAGGAAAGGAAAGGAAAGGAGAGGAAAGGAGAAGAGAAAGAAAAAAAGAGAAAATGTAAAATAAGTTCCCTTATTTTCATACATTGCCTAGAGTTAATAAGATATTTCATTAGTTGAAGACTATATGATTTCCCACCATTGTTCTTAAATATTGTATGTGGCACAAAATCCTATGTATCAAGAAATTAGACCTCTCATCTTTCCTTTTTAAAGCTCTAACAGAGCATTTTAAATTTACTTTTTAAGTTCTTCTTGGTATATAAGAACTTTCTATAACAGACATCCAAGCCAATCAGCATACCTTAGCAGGCCCATTTCATAGGAAATGTCCAACTCCATGTCCTTTGGAAGATTTTCTGAGTCATGGTAGCTAAGATCTTTAATAAAATGCTATTTATGCTCAAATTAAATATTCCATATTGTAAACATATATGAAAATATCATAATATATCACATAAATAGGTAATTATTATTTGTCAATTAAAAATAAAATAAAGTGAAAATTATAGCTGATAGAATAAAACAAAACAATTACCCTGACCTGAATTTCAGCTCTGTCATTTATTAGCTACGATAATTTGGGCAAATTAGGGATCCTCCTGAGCTTGGGGGTTTCCTTGCCTATTTATATAAGTAAAAGTAGTGCCTACTTTGAAGGTATGTTGTAGGGATTAAATCAGCTAATAAATGTAAAGCCCATAGAGCAGTATCCAGCTTATGGTTAGAAATCAATCAATATTAAAGAAAACAATTGAGTTGTCTTTTCACCAACTCATGGAGTCTCCAGTTAAATTCTGATACTATTAGTTGTTAACTGCTGGACAGACACAGGGTTAAGCATCTGTGCTGCCCCCAGGACCCATGGGGATGCTGACTGCTAACATCCTTTTCTCCCAAGCTGCTTATTTTAGATAAGGCCTCCCAGAGAAAACCACACCCTGTTCCTCTTCTAGGTGACACAGAGTAAATTCTGCTCACTATAATCTCATTATAATGCTAAATTCTCTGCAGGGTACGAGGGGACTACTGTCCACCATCTTGGACCATGCTATGTACATATGCGAACAAACATGATTTCTATGCATGCTCAGCAATGTGCCCACCCCTACATGCGATGACTAGTTTCTCCAGTATGAATACGTATACTATTCCAGCAAAAGGCCCCTGCTTCCTTTATTCAGGGAGACACTGCTTTGGGAGTTATCTCCAGTGTCTCCTTACTTGATGAAACGAATACACTTTTCTTCAGTCTTTTATATCCTGGTAGAGTTTTATTGGTTTTGCACTCACCAAAGAGCAAACCCACTGTACTCAGTTACAGCATGAAGCCGTTAATTATTATTAATCATATGCTTTCTGTTACCCATACTAGCTGTTCATAAATATAATTAAAGAATCACATAGAAAACTTTACTACATGCTATGAGAAAATAGCTTGAAATGGGATCTAGGCCAGTAACGGCAAACCTTGTAGAGATCAAGTGCCCAAACTGCAACCCCAACACACTTATTTATCGCAAAGTGCCAACGCTGCAATCAAACCTGAATATAGAGGTTTTGATTTCCAAAAAATGACAGTTATCCAGTGCTTGGGCAGTTTGACGTATGTGAAGAGAGACAGGGCTCTGCATGCCCACTGGGGTATTCCCGCCACAGGTTCGCCACCACTGGTCTAAGCTTTCTCAAATTAGAAATAATATCAACAGCACTGAGCACCAACTATCTCTGCTCAGTGTTATGTTTAACAAGTACAGATCTACTAAGTTCAATCCAAATCCCAAGAAAAGAAAAAAGAAGAGAAGTGAGGAAGAGAGGGGAGGGGAGGGAAAGAGAGTGGAAGGGAGGGAAAGAGAGGGGAGGGGAAGAAGAGAAAGGGGAAGGGAGAGGGGGGAGGAGAGGGGAGGGGAGGGGAAGGGAGAGAAAAGAAGGGAAAAGTAGGAAGGGGAGGAAAGAGGATACCTGGACAGATGAGAAAACAACAGGATAAATGCCTCAGTAAGCTTTTTGGTTAATTCAATCTTGTATGTAAAACCCTCTTAACTAACCCATAAATTCTTCTGACAGGATGAAGAAAATCAAATGAAGTTCATTTAGGAATCTGCACTGAGAGATGATGGCACCCGGGGTGTGATCCTAGAGCCTAAAGTAACCAATTAGATTATTACAAATCCTAGGTAGGGTGAGGGCCCTAACACCCAATAAAAAGCAGTGAAGAACCAATGGCCCTCTGAAGCTGGCAGCATGGTGGTACCAAGCCTGTAATTGCAGAATCCAGGAGGCTGAGGCAGGACCTCAAACTCAAGCAAGCCTGAGCTACATCCTGCATTCAAAGGCCAGCCTGAAATACACAGTGAGACCCTGTTTCAAAAGCGGGGAGAGGGGCTGGTGAGATGGCTCAGTGGTCTAAAGCACCTACTTAGAACAAGCTAAGCTAAGCAAAGCACAGGGACCACGGTTCAATCCCCCAGCACCACATGCCAGCCAGCATCGGCCCCCTGGTGGGCTGAGCTGGCCACACACACTAAATAAAATAAATAAATAAACAAATAAAATAAAAATAAAATAATAAAAAAATTAAAAAAAATTAAAAAAAAAAAAGCGGGGAGAAGGCTGGGTCCTCTACTTTTCCAGAGCCCTCTAATCTGATCCATCAGGGTAGCTATCTCTTTTCCTCCCTTTCCAATAAAGTATCCAATAACATGTCTTTCCTTTGCTAAAACTTTATATCTCTAATTTTTTATTGACATGAAATTTACAAATCATGGAGACCTGCCCCCTCACCCCAGAATATTGGGCAGAATAGTGTTCAGTCCTACCCCCCCATCACACACACAAAGAAAGAAAGAAGAAACCCACAATATAAACTTTTTTTCCAGGGTCTATTACTGTCATTGGAGAAAATTTTAATAAAACATAATTTCAAAATCACTGATGTCTCAGATCCATTTCTATGTTTATTTAAAAATGTTTGTTTCTATATTCTACCTGGTTTGAATAAACATTTATTTTATCTCATTCTATTTTTTTGGTACTAGGGCTCAAACCCAGAACCTTGTACTTGCCAGGCAGGTGACTTGTGCCACTGAGCTATATCCCCAGCCCTGAATTAACATTTAAAAAGTCATGCAACAGGTTGATGGGAGGAAGGGGAAAGGGGAAAAGAAAAAGAATCAAGATATATCATGTATAGGGACAAATTCCCTATGATGTGATCATTATGTACACCTAAAATGCACCAATAAATTAAATTAATTAAAAAGTCATCCAATAAAGGGCAGCCAGATAGCTCAGCAGATTAAGGCACCTGCTTAGGCAGATGCAGGGACCCGAGGTTTGATCTCTGGTATGTCATACCAGCCCTGCCCCCGGGGCACACTGAGCTTTGACTGAAACTGGGCATGGTGGCACGTGCCTATAATTCCAGAGCTTGGGAAGCTGAAAACAGGAGGATCACTGCAAGTCTGATCTGTGTAGTGAGACCCTCTACTAAAAACACTAAAAAAAAGTCATCCAATAAATTGATTTATTCTCAAGATAGTGTGTATGTAATGAGATTAAGATTTGTATAAATGACCAATAGCTATCTATCACATTTAACGTACCTTGATCTCTTTTTCAAATGGTTTGATAAAAGGTGAGCCTCTCATTGTCTGTGTTTTTATAATTTGATCATCAAGGATTGCTTGAATCTCATCTACTGCAGAAAGAATATAGACTCCAGTATCACGATATAGGCTTATATGAAAAGAAATAGCATCCCAAGTTCCTATCATTGCATGCATGGCTTTTTCTAAAGAAAATTCCTAAAAGGGAGAAAGAAAAAATAGCATGGTGGTAGAAAAAAAGGAACTTATTTACTATATTGATTTTTCCTAGATAATTCAATAAATATTGGTACATTATTACACTATCATTTGCTTAAGATACTTTGTGACTATATAATAAATTTTTGTTAGAAATACTTTCTTTTAATTTAAAGATTTTTAAGAATGTAGTTGTTAAACATTCACTTAGTGAACACTACTGCTGTAAGTACTAATTACTGTCCATTTTAATAATGAACAATAGAATAAAATGCCTGCTGGGCTTTTTCTGGAGGAGGCTTTCTGCAGGCAGTCTGTAGTCTAGAAGTGCTTTTGGTGCATTTGAAGAACCCTTACTCTAGAGCTATACTCACTTTCTGGAGCATCCCCTCACTACACCACATGGGATGCCACACATATATCCATCCAGCAGTCTTGGAATAACTCCGCATCAGTACTGGTGTACTGTCAGAATGTGGCAGAATTACAAAGAAGTGAAAGGGGCCATTTCTAGTCTGGATTCAAGATAAGCAAGTATATGCTTTGCATGTGAAAAAGGGTAATCCTTTGTCACTCTGTCCCCACACTATTGTTCAGTGCATGACACATTTAACCATAATTCTCCTCCAACTACTACTCAGTACTGTACACATTCAACCACAACAAAAACTATTACTATTAGATCAGCAAATTCATCAAATAAAGGATTTCAGATTTGGTCATTTTGTTTTTGTTTTTCAATATTGGGACTTGAACCCAGGGACTCAGCTACACCTCCAGGCATTTTTTATTTTGAGACAGTCCTGCTAAGTTGCCCAGGCTAGATTCACACTAGCAATCCTCCCGTCAACCTGCCACGGTGCTGCTGATCTGTGCGCGTACCTTGCTTGCACCTGCGCTTATCACTTCAAACTTATCCAGGTATGGTGCAAGGTTTAACTTTAAAACTTTTCTCAGTGTAGTTCCAGAGTCAGGAGTCAAGTCATAGCCTACAATTTCTGACATCTGCTTCCAGTGACGAGCTCTCATTCCTGGGTTGCACAGAATGGAGACGGTAGGAATACACTCCTAATGGGGGGAAAAAAATCATCTGACTTCTATACAGACATTCAATAGACAAAACCTAGATAGTATAATGATCACATGTCTTCAAATTATTTAATATAGCTATATGAATACAATCAAAGTGTCCATTAAATTTGGAGGAAAAGTTCACCTAGAAAAACATGTTAAAAAAAAATCAAGAAAATAACAAAATAATGAGACGATGATTGAGACTGGGCATGGTGGTGGGTGCCTGATTCCCAGCTCTTGGGAGGCTGTAAACAGGAGAATCACTATGAGTCTAATATAGTAGTGAGACCCTGAACACCCTGTAAACCCTTCCCTAGAATACCAAAAAAAAAAAATTAAAAATTAAAATAAAAAAGAATAAAGGGTAAATGTTGACATGAATATTGAAGTATGTGATAAAACTATGACAAAGCACAAGAGATGGAGGCAGCGGGAGGGAATGGAGAGAAAGGGGAAGAAAAAAAGGAATTGGGCCAGTCTTAGCCCAGGTCCGGTGAGTGTGTGGAGAGCTTCCTGCTACCCTGCACCGGTGGGATCAGTCCCAGCCCAGGCGCAGCGTGGGCCAGACCCTCTCCCACCCCTTCAGGCCACCCCCCACAACTCCGGCGTACCTCCTCCACCCCTCCCACTGAGTAGGAATTTCTGCCGACTTCCAGGAACCCCCAGACCCAGTCCTAGCCCAGGTCC